TGTGCCTTATAAAACTGGAATGTTTCCCTGAGACTGTCAAACACTGAATAGCAGCCTCAGCTATTCAGGGTGAAATATTTTCCTATTTAATTATACAGATCCTTTTAGTGGGGAAAATGAATCCTGTACTGAGATGACAGATTGTTTTTTCCTTTCCCCTTCAAAACACATATATTGTTTTTCTGCTTACAAAATTATTACCAATCAAGAACTGCTCCAGACAAAAGTTTTATATTTTTCAGTTCTTTGACTCACTAGTCAGTACTCTGTATGTTAAGATACAGCAGCCAAATTTTACAGCAGTTGTGGGCCGTCCAGGTATCTCCAGAACCTAGCTAAGAAATACCAATGGCATTATGGCAATTGCTTATTACAGAGCCTTTTCTGTATCTCCTCTCTATTTTCCCCACAGTTAAGCACACAGATAAGATGGAAAAGTACCACTTCAAATATATCAAATACTATGTTTGACTTCACCAGTTTTAAGCTTATGGTAACTTTTTCTCTACAACAATGAACACACACTAAAAGCCCAGCAAAAAACAGCATGCAGTAATAAAAACAGAATAGAAGCACAAAAACTTCATTTTTCAACTCTCAAGCAGCATATTCTTGCCCAGAAGAAGAACTGCTGCTGGAACAACACTCCTGGGTTCCTCTTCTAATTTCAGTCCCAAAACTTTACTTACCCTCTTCTAAATCTGATTGACCACTCAAATTTTGAGACTAATAGCTAAGATCTACTCTTAAGTATATGCATTCAAAAAGTAAGCTTTTTAAACAGAACCCATAGTAGTTTCTGTATTTGTGGTACAATTTATGAAGTTGGCACTTTGTAGGCAGAAAGGAACTGAAATTGGTTTAAGTGGCTGAAAGGGACAAACATCTCTGTTCTTTCACCTTACCATTTTTGTGAAAAAATTTACAGTTTTCACTGTGCAGAACATTAGCAGTTAAAATACAAATGAACAAATATTACCCATCTTTCTACATGCCAAAAGTACTGGCTGTATCTCCCTTTTTAAAATGCATTATTACTTTTTATCAAGCCAAAAAAAAAAAAAAATCTGTGGAAATATCAGAACATTCTAACATTAATTACATACACTACATTTTTTGGGTTTCAATTTATTTTCAAGTTCACATTGTAATAATCCATTGTTTTAGGGTTTTCCCCCAGTAATTAAAGAAAAAAAAAAAAAAAGAGCCACTTTAAGGCAGTGACACTTACTAGAAAAGTTACCATTAAAATTGTATTAGCCTGACTTGATTTCTTATTCTTCTGATGATAGATATGGGTTTATGAATTTCAGACACCAATTCAATTCTACAGTGAATGTCCTGTATATTCAATTGATGCTTTCTCATAAACAGATAGGCTAAGAAAAAAAATAAAACTACAGTCATCCAAAAACTGTTTAAATGGCACGATTTATAATACCACCACACAATTCTTACTTAAACATCATACAATTGAGCATTTATTCAACCTTTTACTTCTTGAAATATGGAATAGTAGAGGGGAAAGAGCATTCCTTGCCAACTGGCAAACTAGTAGCATTTCAACAGCTAAGAGGGGTGATAATTTTTCCTTTAGCCTGAATACTAAAAAAATAATTTTTAGAAATAGACTGTTTCTTTCACAGGTAAAAATATATTCCAATACTACCAATAAAAATGAATGTCTATAAACTAGAAAAGGTTACAGATTAAATACTTCTCTCTCTACACTCAAGCTATACTACTAACCTCAAAGTATATCTGGCCCCTCCAAACAAGGGTCTTCTTCAAAAGTATCACTGTCCGTATTAATCAGATATCCTCTTCCTCTTCTGCCCAGTTATCTGAGTCTACTTGAGAAAGAACAATCTCTTTTTTCTTATACTTTAAAATGAGTTTTGTGCCTGAAAAGTTGGGGGTCTCAACCATTTTCTTACAAGCATAGTAGATACTACACAGAAAATGTGCAGCAGACATGACACTGGCTTGAAAACCTTCCAATATAATTCTGGTTGTTATATTAGTAATAGTAATAATTGCAATAATAATATTAATAATGATGATGAACTGCAGTAAAAAACCAAGAGATTACTTTGTTCAACTTTAGAGTATGCAAGTATAGCAACACTATTCTATGAATAAATTTAAAAGTGGTTTTATTTCATAAGTCTACCATCAAGAAAAAGTTTTTCAATTTTAGAGGAAAAAATTGGACTGACTGCTTGTTATAGCAAGATTACATAAATTTAAATACTTCATGCAAATGAGAACAAGACCAATTCTGGCAATAGAAGAAACTGTGTTTACACTTAATTTCCAGATATTTGAAACAAGCTATTAATCACTTTTTTTCCACAAGTCCAATAGGGTTTTTTTAAAAGAGGGCTGCAGTGCTATCAGTTTTCATACATATCTGATACAAGCGAGCAGAAAACTAAGTGCATTTGATGACACTTTCAGTGGTATTTACTATTCAGCTCCAGCTCTGAGCAAAATGTTTCCACTGCAACTGGTTTACTCTCATTTTAATTAAAAGGTAGACTGCATAGCTAATAAAGGAAAAATAATTAGAATATTAATTACACCCAGTGCAGCAATATTTAAACTCTCCTGTCATAACCACAGGGCAAGACAATTTTAAAACATGTTGCAGCATGAGCAGATACTGTTTCATGAGTTGAATGGTATTCAGACTCAGTCTTAAAAATGCCTTTGCATGCAGGCTCAACAAATTCCCCACTGATAAACCTTAGACAGGCAGGTCTGTGCCCTGAGACTTCCTTAGATATCTATTCCTCAGATATCTACACTCTGCAGTGATGAGAACCCAGATGCATGTCCTCTCTAACATGCTCTGCCATTGGCCTTGTGAGTTTGTCCCTGCAGTAGTACAATTTCAAAAGGAGATTTACAGAGCATCTCTTCCACCCACCTTCCACTCCATTTCAAAACCCTGGTGATCAGCACAGTCTTGTGGGTATAATGAAATATGCACTTTATTTCTCTCTGGCAGAGTAGACCCAGTCCCAGCATACAGCATGAGATCATCATGTTCTTTATGGAGAAAGCTGACAGTCCCAGTTCAGTTTCTCAGATCATCAACTCTTCTAGCTACATCTGCAACACTACTTTGGCAAATCACTGTGCAACTGCAAAAAGGACATCCGTGCACAAAAAATAGACGTATGGTTGGCTGAATCAGTTCCGTGCATGCTTGGCCTGGGATATTTTATGTTGTTGTTCCAGCCACACGAAGCCTTTCAACCATGCAAAAGGCTTCTTTAGACACTGCCGTAACAGTGCAGTAGCAGGGATTAGCTGCACCACTTCCTTAGTTGGTCAAAGCCAAGATAAGCCTGCATGACCTTCAAGTTGCTTTGTAAGAAGCTATCTTGAATATTCAAGAACAAAAAGCTAAGACACTGGTAGAGTCTAAATACTTGGACTTCTTTGTTTATGTTTTCTTCCTGCTGAATGCTTTAAAATCGGAGAATCACAGAATGGGTCAGGTTGAAAGGGAACACTGAGGGTCATGTGGTCCAACCTCCCTAATCAAGCAGCAGCATCCAATCATCCTGGAGCACATGGCACAGGATTGCATCCAGATGGCTCTTGAATATCTCCAGTGAGGGAGACTCCACCACCTCCCTGGGTAGTCTGTTCCAGTGCTTGGCCACCCACATAGTAAAGAAGTTCCTCCTCATATTCAAGTGGAAATTCCCGTGTTCCAGTTTATGCCTGTTGCCTCTTGTCCTATTGCTGGGCACCACTGAGAAGGACTTGGCTCTATCCTCTTGGCATCCTCCTTTCAGGTACAGATAAACATTGTTGAGGGCTCCTCTCAGTCATCTCTTCTTGATGCTGAACAGGCCCAACTCCCCCAGCCCCTCTCTTAGAAAAGATGCTCCAAAAGACATCCTTACTATGTCAGTGCATGACACCTTTCACTACCTAAACCATATAAACAAATTCTATTCAATTACATAAATGAGATGCTTAGCATCCATAACAGTGAAAAGGACCATCATTTCCACAAATACTGGGGAGTCTTAATGCTTGAAAAGAAGTGTTTGCAGATAATGATTTTTAGCTAAGGAGGCAGCATCCTACATTGACTTTTATCTTGTGGTTCATGTGTAGCATTGAGTTCAACAAAGCAAAAGGTATGAGAATTCCTGTTCAGGGAATCATTTGGTGACTGTCCCTTTTAATCACATTTTCTAACAGTTTTAAGAGTCTAATTACAGTCTGCCACCATATGGAATGCATCTCAACAAAAATTTTACAATTCTATTCCTTTAACAACAGTCTGCTTTTTTACTATCATTCAGAGAGGAGTCTGATAGTCACAATGTTTTTAGGAGTATTGTCTTCAGGCACAAGATGCAAAATGAAGACATCCACCAGTCATGGGCTGAACTTACTGATCTTGGTGTTCTGGTAACTTTTGCAACGATGATCTACTCACAAACCAGCAAGCTGATAAAATGTATGAGTTACCCAATGACTATAATAAGAAAGATACCTCTGTTGGTTCTACCTTTATACAACACAGACTGGCAGTAATGGTAATAGATAGAGCTTTTCACTGCAGTGACTTTTTTGGAAGCTCTGACACTGAATTTTTATTTTGTTCTAATAAAGTTCATGGCACAAAGAGTGTGAACTACATTAGAGAATAAGGCTCTTCAGACAGATATAAAACATTGAGAGTGTGGAAGAGCTGACTACTTGATACACCAAAGTTTTTTTGACATTTTATTTCACTTTCTTTTCTGATATGCAAGTCAAAAATCACAACTAATCTTCCATGGTATGGTATAACTTGAACACATTAAACAAATCAAGGCAACAAGCTCAAGAATTCCAAGAACTAAATCAGGTGTGGCATTATTTACTTTAAGAGGATATATAAAAGGATATCAAGGACACTTGATAGCCTGTAAGACACATAAGCAACATATAATCATCTGTCTTCTTAAAATGTTATGTAGAATTACCTTAACAGAAGTTCTTTGGGCAGTTTTTTGTTAATAAGGGCTTCATCATTATTTGAGAAAACCTACAAACAGAAAGAAAAAACACTATTTTAAAAACCAACAAGAAAAACATATTTTAAAGAGGCTATTCACCTTCTAATTAGATGCTTAATTCTCTTAAATTACTGTTAATATCAAGTTTTTAACATGTTAGTTGTCAATACTACAAAATTATTTTAATGTACAAAACAAAGCCACACCCCCACATACACCTGTTCTTCCCTAGTGCTGAGATTTAACCACACAAAAATTGTGGAGCAACTTAATCATGAAACAAGCATACTTACACCGCACAAAATGTTTTAAGCAGTAGTGAAACTTCAATCAATTCAGTGAAACAAGACATGTACAAACACACACTGGCTGCACAGTCCTAAAACTGTCCCATTACAAAAAACAAACCAGACACTTTTCAGTTATTCAGGTGCCTCCTTTCACTGTCTACAGTGCAAATTCTTTGGCCCAGATACGTGAATACGGATAAAATATAACTATCTACATGTTTCAACAATATAGTGCCACAGATAGGGCAGCAACTGCTATATAAGCAAAATAAGCACATCAAGAAACGCTACAAGAAAACCTGAAAATACCTCTCACCCAAATTTCATATTTTTAGTACATATCCTTACACATCCTAAGGCGGGGGG